GGGCTTGTGTGGTACAAGTCCTGACTTCCAATCTTTCATCTCTTTGATTTGTGGAAAAGGGGAAGCATAATTCCCTGAGCATTTTATACGCAAAGCATTTTGTACCAATCCCTCTTATTATAAGTACATTATATAAATTCTAAAATAAACAAAAATACAAACCAAATGAGATACAGATTAATGGGGATTTTGGAAAGGGTGTGTTTGAAAATTTTAATCTAGTTAATAAAAAATAAATTCATTGTTGGTATAGTGTTTTTCATCCAAAAGCTTGTAATGTCTACAAGGAGCAAAGTTCTTGGAGTCACTTCCACCCAGCTTTCAACCTAGTGTGGAGACAGACCAGTTTACATAGGTACTGACATACAATGGTTTGGGAGAAATACATAAAACTGCACTTTCATGTCACCAGATATACTACATCAGTGGATATTATCTTGGGCTGAACAAATAAGAGTGAAAATTCCCCCTAGCAAGAGAAGAAAGTCTCATTCCACTTCATGTTGATCAGGTCCCATGTCTAGTATTGGTTTAGGTTCCAGCTGCGAAATCCCTTGAAGTTCTTTTCAAAAGATTTGAAGCTGTGTTATTTATTCATAGTGCTAGAATGTGCCACGATTTGGTTTGATTATCTCATGGTCATGTATATGCCACTGTTACGGATTAAATTGTGTTCTCCCAGAATTCATACATTGAGCTCTAATGCCAGTTGGACTCCATTTGGAGGTGGGGCTTTTAAGAACTTAAATAAGTTTAAATGAGGCCATAAAGGTACAACCCTAATCCAATAGAACTAGTATCCTTATAAGAATAGGAAGAGGGCCTCCTCTGGTGGCGCAGCGGTTGAGCGCTGGGCTACGAAGATGCCCGCAGCCTCTGCAGCCCTGGTTCAATCCCCTCCCACTGGCGAGGGTCCCACATGGAGTGACAGACCTCTCCTGCCATGCCTGCTGCTCCCCTCAGCAGTGTATTTCATCGGTCTACCTGTTCTGTTCCCTGCTCTGACTCTGGTGAATTCTCTCACCCTCCTGCGCTTCTGACTGTAACCAGCGCTTGTATGAATAAATAAATAAATCTTTAAAAAAAAAAAAAAAAAGGAAGAGACTTCAGGAGCTCGATTGCATAAATAAAGGCCATGTCAGGATGCAACAAGAAGGTGACTGTCTGCCAGCAAGGAGAGTAGCCTCAGGAGAAACCAACCCTTCTAGCTCTTTGATCTTGGATTTCCTGCCTCCAGACTGTGAGAAAATAAATTCTGTTCTTTAAGCCACTGGTCTGGTATTTTGTGATGGCAATCTGAGCTAACAGATAGAGTATTTAATAAATATCTGTTTAATGAGTGAGAGGAATACTTAGAGAAACTGGGTGACCCAGAGAAGAGAAGATATAGAAGTATTAGAATAATCTGTGAAAGGATAAGTATGTTCTGTATCTCCCTAGATATATCCAATTATTGAATTGGAAGTTGCAGAAACGCAAGCATCGGATCAATACAAGAAAAACTTGCAACAGCTAGACTTTATTATAATTCCTCCAAGTGTGTTATCCCAGCTTCTAGAATTTAATAGTAGCTCAGAGGGAGTTCAATTGCAAGGAAAATAACACTGAGGAGAGAATGGTCAGAGTTAAGTTTCAATATCAAACTTTTTCAGAAAGAAAATGGAGGTCAAGATTTGCCTCACCAGGCTGGACTCTAGTCCCCACCCTTCCTTCCCTTCCCCTCCGTAGTGTGTCTTTGGTTTATAGTTGCTTGTTGATTTTGATTTTTACTTTGTATTAATTAGTCTTTTTCCTCGTCTCTTATTTAAGTTTTCTAAATTCCTGTTATGAGTGAGACCATCCAGTATTTTTCTTTTTCTTTCTGACTTATTTTGCTGAGCATGATCCCTTCTAGCTCCATCCACGTTGCTGCAAACTGCATGTGTTTATCTTTTTTGATTGCTGAGTAATATTCCATTGTGTATATGTCCCACATCTTCTTGATCCAGTCATCTATTTTTGGGCATTTGGGTTGTTTCCATAGCTTAGCTATTGTAAATAGTGCTGCTATAAACATAGGTGTGCAGGTGCCCTTTGGAATTAATGTTTCTGTGTCCTTTGGGTAAATACCTAGGAGTGGAATTGCTGGATCATATGGAAGCTCTATGTTTAGTAGGTCAGGAAATCTCCACACGGCTCTCCATAGTGGTTGAACCCGTTTGCACTCCCACCAGCAGTGCAGGAGAGTTCCCTTTTCTCCACAATCTCACCAACATTTGTTGTTGCTAGTTTTTTTTAATATGTGCCATTCTCACTGGTGTAAGATGGTATCTCATGGTAGTTTTGATTTGCATTTTCCTGATTACAAGTGATTTTAAACATTTTTTCATGTGCCTGTTGGCCATTTGCATTTCTTCTTTTTAGCTCTTCTGCCCATTTTTGGACTGGATTATTTTCTTTGTTGAGTCTTATCAGCTCTTTGTAGATTTTTGTGATCAGTCCTTTATCATTAGTGTTGTGTGCAAAAATGTTCTTCCAGTTGGTGAGGTTTCTCTTTGTTTTTGCTACTGTCTCTTTTGCTGTGCAGAAGCTCTTTAATTTGATGTAGTCCCAGCTGTTTGTCTTTGCTTTCACTATCACTGCTTTGGGAGATGTAGACACAGAATCCTTTTTGAAATTCAGGGAAGAAAATTGGGAAGTATATGTTACTTAGCAGAATAGCAGGTAATAAATTAATTTGCAAAGGAAATAATCATACCTGAGACTGGACTATTTATAGATGTGGTTTAATATAGGGTAAATTATAAGGCAAATTTTTAAAAGTATATCTCAAGTACTTGGCAGAATTTATCTATTACTTTGCTCTATATTCACCACACTTTATAAAAAATAATTAATAATGAGAACTCACTGTACTGCATTGATATGAATCAGTTTCCACAAACACACATATCCTTTTGGGATATTTCCCTGTAGGCCCTTAGCTATTAATCCTAAAATCCATGTCTAAACTGCTGTGTTATGAAGAAGGTACTATCAGTTCATCTGGTGCTGGCAAATAGAGCAGGGAGTACAGTTCAGGGGGTAAATCAGTCCATTTCTTTAGAATCTTCTTCAATCATTCTGTGATTAAAATATCACACTAACCATTACTGATGAATGAGAAAAAATTTAACTACGTGTGTGAAACAGCAATTCATTTCAGGTAATGCCAGGATTCAGCTAAAATTGCTTAGGTTAATCTCATTGTTGCTTATTCTAGAAAGCACAACTAACTAGCCTTCAGGCATACCCTCCAGGGCAGCACAAGCCAATAGGTATTATATTAACCACATAGATAATTAAATGCTTGTAGCCACATTTATATATTTTTAAAATAAAATGTATTGATTTATCATTGATTTACAATATTTCATAATTATCAGAAGTATATCTTCACTCCTCCATATGTGTATAAATCTCACTGCACCCACCACCAAAGTTTTAGTGCTAGTCCCTGTAGCCACATTTACAAAAGCAAAAAGAAGCAGGTAAATTGTTTGATGGCTTATTTAAACCAATATAACCAAAATATTATCATTTCTGTATGGAATCAATATAAACATTTTAAATAAGGGGTTTTACTTTTGTTGTTGCTTTGTATTAGAAACCTTGGGTATGTTTCACACTTTCAGCAACAGCTCATATTGGACTATCCTCATTTCAAGTACTCAGTAGCCACATGTGGCTCGTGGCTCCTGCACTGTAGAGCACAGAGTGATAACACTGGGCAACAGGCTGGTTTTATGGCATGTTTATGGTATGTGAGGGGAAAAGTGGGCATCACCCCAAATATGCATATGCATTTCTTTAGAAATTGCACACATGGATTATAAATACATAAAATTCATCTTTATAATGTTTTTTATCTATCAGTTGATTTATATTTTTGTTTATTTTGAATATATTTAGTGTATTTATAACATAATCCATTTGTACAATTCCTAAATAGTTTATGTTGAAATGCATGTTCGTTTTTTTTTTCCTAACAGGCACAACTCTAACTCTTACTAGTGCTTTTAAAATTTTATCTCACTAACATAACTATTTTTAGCAAATATTTGAAAAAATAAGCCTCATTATGTTTGAAAATCTTAACATTTGCAATACTCATAATTCAGCAAGTCAAAGTTTGTGACTAAGTTTAGTTTATTTTTCTCCTTGGCTGTCAAAACTGGGGGAAAAAAGGTATCTCCCAAATATAAATATATCTAAATTAAAAAAGACCATTATTGGTTGCACTGAACTCATGATACTCAGTTTTTCCAGTCCCATCTACCAATTATACAAAAGTCTTTGTAACAAGTTACCAAGTAAATTTCTTCTTCCCTGATCAGTCAGTAATTTTTCAGTTGTTTTCTTATACTTTTAAAAAGTGGATTCAAATTCCACTGAAGCTCTTTATTAGGAAGATTTGCAAAGTAATTAGAAATCCTATGAATCAAATAGACTGCAAGATAATCCCTCATCACTTCCTCCCACTATAATCACCCTCTCTTTGAGTATGCACTTTATATGCCTCCTTTTCCTTCAGGTTTGACACTCTCAGGATTAACTTTGGTTGTGTATGACTCCAGACTTGATTGAGTGGAATGTGAGACTCTCTTTAAGCGCTAGAGGAAATGAGTGGACATCTTAGGGAAACCCACACCTGGGCAATACTTAGGACCTGTGGATAGCTTCTAGGACGTGGGCAGCCTCCAGCCAAGCACCAACAAGAGGCATGAGACCTCAGTCATACAGTTAACAAGGAAATGAATTCTACCAACAACCAGAATGAACTTGGAAGCAGATTCTTTCCCAGTTGAGCCTCCAGATGAAATCACATTTATATATATATATATTTTACAATGAGTCTAGTTCATAACTGCAGCCTTGTGATGAGCCCCAAAGCAATAGGCCCTAAGCTGTGCCCTCGCTCCTGATCCAGAGAATCAGTAGATTTTAAAAATACCTTGTATTTCTATTTTTTTGTCTGTTAGGAGAGAAACACAGTCTACAACCACCACAATAATGCGGTTAAGTAAGTGTCCCTCATTTTGTGAAATCACAAGGGTCAAGACATCTCAAGTGTAAGAGATAAGCCTTGCCCTGAGAAAACCACCTGGATGATCATCATGGTGTCTCCCCCAACAAGTGAGTATTTTTTTCTAATTTTTTTAAAATGTGTAGATATTGGTTTTTTAGGTGGCACAAGACCATGTTGAGCTACAGAATCAGGAAACAATAGAAACATTTCCAAATATCTATATTTCAAAGAAACAAAAATTTCTATTGTGAAAGTCTCCTCTCTACACATTGTTAAAATATCGATTTTTGATGGAGATAGAACATGTGCTTATATTTCAAAAATGTTTGCCAGGTAAGCTAAAACTATAGCCCCTTGTTAATATACAAAAGATCAACAAATGCTGGACTTTCACATTTTTGTAAGAGAAAACAGTATCTTTTATCTTTAAGATCTGTGATTCCCTTAGTGAACCTCTCAGTGTTTTAAAAAAGTTTGTCCCAAAATGACATAGAGTCCATGGTAATTTAGTCTGGATTTAAAAGATATTTTAGTTTAATTCTTAAAATTAATCCCATCAGTATAGCCATTTTTTGCTTTTGTGGATTTGGTTTCTATCTTAGCAGTGTAGGAATTTCAAGTTTAGTATTATCTATCAATATATAACATATCCTAGAAGGTTCTTTTTTTTTAAGTTCTAAGGAAAGGAACCATTGTTTCCGTGAATATACTTGAGTATTTTCTTCATAAGATGTTGTTTTAATTACATAAGTTTTTACTCTTAAATATGTATCTTCTTTGGTTATCTTTAATTTAGTGACACATCAGAAAAAAGTACTTCTTCATGTTGTTTATTATTGAATGCTAATCTACCAACTAGCATATGTGAAGATATGCTAAAAAATCTGTACTTTTATCTTTGCTCTAGAACAAAACTTATTAGGTAGCATCAGTTCTGTAAGTTTTTTCTTCCAACCTTTAGCAGTAAATTCTATGTATATTCCAAAAGTGTATTTGCTAATCTGGTATAATAAAAATGTTATTTATTTGTTTGGTCTTTACCCCGGCGCACTGCTCCTAAAACCCATGGAATTTTCTGAGTGATAGAAGTGCTTTTTGTTATTCATAGTAATCTCCTTTTTTTTTTTTTTAAGATTTATATATTACTTATACATACAAGAACTGGGGTGCAGGCCAGAGGTGCAGAGGAGGGGGCAGTGAGAAGATTCACCAGAGACAGAGTGGGGAGCAGAACAGGCAGATTGACTGAAATACACTACTTCAGGGAGCAGCGAGCAAGCCAGGAGAGGTCTGCTGCGCCATGTGGGTATCTCCTTGGCCAGCCGGGGATTGAACTTGTGCTGCAGAGACTGCAGATAGCTTCATAGTGCTGTGCTTAACCCCTTGCACCACCAGGGATTCCCATCCTTTCTGACCACAATTGACTTTAGACTAATGATGTGACTAAAAGTAGCTTCAAGTTGAGTGTTGATCATCAAGCATATGCTTAGAGAATTTCAGCCCCATCTCTTGACCATTGTAGGGAGGGGGCTGGAAGATGTGTTTGGTCTCCAATGACCAACTATTTAATCATCCTTGACTATGTAATAGAACTTTGATTAAAAACTGTTGAACAATAAAGGTCAGTAACATTTTGGGTTATAGAACCCATCAACAACCTAGGAGAGAGGCATGTTCCAAGAAGGTAAGAAACTCTGCCCCCCTTCCCATTTCTTTGTGAACTGTATCCTCCCACCCCACACCTCATCCTGGCTATTCTGGGTTATACCCCTTATTATAAAATGGTCAATATAAGTAGAGTGTTTTTCTGAGTTCTATGAATCATTTTAGTGAATAGGCCTGAGAGGGTTTGTAGAAACCTCCAAATTTGTAGTCAACCAGGCAGAAGTGCAGATAACCTAGACCCTTATTTATGGCTGGTGTCTGAAGTAGTCTTGTGGACTGAATGCTGAATTTTGGGGTGTCTGTGCTAACTCTGAGAAGTTAGAGTCAGAATTAAATTGAACTGCAGGACTACAGTATACCTATATAACTATTTATAAATGAATAATTATATTCCTCAGTATCACTGTCAACCAATACTGAGTGAGATAATTTAACAAACAACACTTTTCTAAAATTGACGGGTTATCATAATGTGCTGGGTGTGAGGAAATACAAGGAGAAATTTCCATTCCTATTTTTTTTTCCTGCTCTTGAGCCTACAGGGGCTGCTGGCATGAATGGCTGCTGCTTCCTTCAGACCCTGCAGTGCCTTTTTCTCCTCTTTTATTTATTTATTTAAATGTATATATATATATATATATATATATATATATATATATCTAAATATATATATATTTACATCATTATTTTTTGTACGATATTTGATTTCTCCACTCAGGTATAATCTCCATAATCTCTGGTGCTCTTCCCTCCTGTTTTGATCCCTTTCCCTCCCCCTCCCCTGCTGTATTGATGACACTATGTGGGTTAGGTTCCTGAAAAGCTTCCTCATTTAATTAAAAAAATACATATTATTAAGCAGTTAATTTGTTCTTGGCTTTATGTTATATGTTGACCATAAAATGATGAACAGGACAAATGTGATCCTTATTGTTAAGGGGTTTCTTTCCCCTATTTATTCATATCAAGCTAATACACAAGGGGCTAAATGGAGAAAGATTGAGATATGTTTTAGGGAGCATGGCCTTGAATGGCTTTTTTGGAGATAAAGCATTTAAACTGAGACCTAAGAGATGGAAAATGGCTAATAGATGTGACAGTTGTGTGTCGGGAAACAAGGGAAGCAAGCATACAGATTATTCAGGGCCTTGAAGTTTACTTTATGTGGAAATAGAAGCCACTGTGGGGCTGATATCCTTTTTGAAGGACATCTCTTTTGATGCTATAAGGAGAACAGCTGGGAGAGGGGCAGGGAGAGAGGAAGTCATCAAGGAGTGATAACAGTGGCTTAGATGACCAAATTACATTTGTACCAGTGGAGATGCCAATAGTGGCCAGATGATTTCTTTATTTCTTTATTATTTTATTTATTTATGCATATAAGAACTGGGTATAGGCCAGAGGTGTGGGAAATGGGCGGGGGAGGAATGTTGAGAGGATTGACCCCAGAATGGGGAGCAGAAAAGGCAGATCTACTGATACACTGCTGCGGAGAGCAGAAGGTGAGACAGGCAAGGTCTATTGCATCATGTGGGTCAGCTCCCTGGCCTGGATCTAACTCAGGCTGCAGTGGCTGGTGATAGCTTGATAGTGCTGCACCATGAGGGAGGCCCCAGCTCGCAAGATTCTTTCTTGAAAAGCAATATGAATGGTGGTATAATTTACTGATATGAGGATAAACAGGTGAGGGCAGAAACAGATTTGGGGTGGAAAATTGAGAGTTCTATTTTGCTCATATTAAATGTGAGATGCCTGGGTGAACTATACAGTTGAAGAAGGATGATACCATCAAATTGAACGTGGAAGTGGAGCTTAGAAAAAAGGTTTGGACTGGAGATATAAATTAGACTATCATTAACATAAATATGGTATTTAAATCCATGTGAATTAATAAAACAGACACTCCCACTCTAAGGAGAGACAGAAGGAAGCCAGGACTGAGCTCTGAGAATGACAAGGTATAAAGATCTGTTAGATATGCAGGATCTATTAGATATGCAGGATCTGAGACTGAGAATGAGTAGCTTATGGAATGGAAGGCAAACCAGACCAGTAGAATAAACTGAAAAAGGGAAGAGAATGTCCAAAAGGAGAGACTGTTATACTAAATGTTCAAGAGATCAAATAAGATGAGGACAATGATTTGACAAGATGGAAGTTGATGGAAATCTTGGCAGAAACAGTTTCAATGGGAAGAAACCAACTCATTAATAAATAAAGGTGAGTTGAAGATTGGAAAATTGTATAAGCAAATGTAAACAACAATAAACAACTTTTTTTTCTTTTTTTTTTTTAAAGTCACAGCATAATATCCTTCGGGATTGTTATGCTGCCATCTACAACTGTGTCTTATATAATGTATGATGTGCTGTGTATAATGGGATATAGGAGTAGATATACTTCCTTTATTGGCTTAGTTTATCATTCCCCCAATGGGCTATGTATATAGTCTATATTTTGCAAAAATGTGCAGGTCATGTTAAAACTGGGCATGTTCATACTCAGTTAAAAACTTAGAAGAAAATACAACCAGACTTACTTGCAAGAAAGAAACATGTATCTTAATATTTCCAAAAGGACTCTTAAGAGAAGATAGTTTTACTTAAATATGGCTTTAAACAAAGTTATTTGAAAAAGATCAGTGTATATCTTAGTATTTCTAATAGAACTCAAAAAAATTCTTCATATTATTGGAATATGGTTTCCACAGAATTATTTGAAAGAAAGCAACATACACATTAATATTTCCAATAGAACTCTAAGAGAAGATTATTAATATTACTAGAATATAACTTTTATATAAAATATCTATGCAGATATTTTACTAAATGGTGGGCTATTTAGCCAAAGCCATTTAAAAAGTAGTTATGTTCACACCTAAGTAAAAAACTTAGAAGAAAATGCATGCCCTTTGGAATCTGTTAAAATGTTATTACTGCCAAAAATGTGATGTATGGTTCAGTAACTCTTACGAGAAGCTTAATGCAAAAGGGAACAGAGAAATGGGACCAAAGTTAGAAACTCGAGGGAAGGTTTCTGGCTTTGTTATTTGTTGATTGTATGATGGGAAATATTGTATCATGGTTATTTGCTGAAAGAAATGAACTGTCTAGAGGAAAGAGAGATGAATAGAAGGGAAAAGGATGAAATCTGAAGCTCAAGGGGAGGGTTTGGATTTGAGAGTATGAGGGACTCAATCCCCACTGTGTGCTGTGTTCAGAAGGAAGCAGAAGATTCCAGATTGCAAGTAGATGGTTTGGTCCTTTTGTTGTTGAAAGATGAGGAAAATCCCTTATCTTTCAAAGTGAGGGGTGTCATCTAATTTCTCATTGAAGCATGAAAGGGGGCTTATTATCAGTGGAGAAAAGATAGTAGGAAGTATGCTGAAATGGAGAAGACATGATATCATATTATCAGAAAAAGAGACAGCTAACCGGCTCAA